GGTCCCACCTCACACCCATCTTTTGGCTGAGATGTTAGAAAGGGAAAATTATAAACGCTGAAAGGACTGTGGGAAAAGAGGCACTCTAATGTACCATAGGTAGAGCTGTGAACTAGTCCAGCCGTTCTGGGAGGCAATTTGGACCTATGCCTAAAAAGGTTATTAAGCTGTGCATAGCCTTTGAGCCAGCAGTATAACTGCTACGCTACTACCCAATGCAACTATCCCAGAGATCAAAACGAGGAAAAGGACCCCCCCCCCCCATTTGTACAAAATATTTATAGCAGCTCTTTGCGTAGCGGCAGAGAATTGGGATCTGAAGGGTGCCCAACAACTGGGGAATGGTTGAACAAATGATGGCGTACGATCGTGCTGGAAGAAATGATGAAGGGGGTGGTGTCTAAGAAACCTGGGAAGACTTGTATGAACTGATGCAGAGGGAAGTGAGCAGAATCACAAGGACAGCTTGGACGCTACCAGTGACGGTGCAAGGATATTTAACTGTGAAAGACTTGGGAATTCTCATCACTACTGTGACCAACCACAATTTCAAAGGACTCGTGATGATCGCAAAGGCCTGCGACCCACTTCCAGACAGTGATGGGCTCTGAGAGTGACTGATGCAATTTTTTGGGACGTGGCTAATTTGTTTTATTTGACTATTAATGTTTGTGCCTGGCGACGTATTTTTCTTGTTTTCTCAATGGTTGGAGGAGGGGGAGAAGAAATTCGAAACTGAAAATAAAATGAAAAAAAAAAAAAAAAAGGAATCCCGGAAGGATTCAAAGGGGGCAGGGTGAGTCAATAGACCCATTTCCCGACGAAAGAACAGAAGTGGCCAAAAAGCCAGTCGGTGGGGGGGAGGGGCCTTCCCTCTCCCCCCCCCCCGCCCAGAGCCCTGTGACGTCACGCCGGGCCGCGGCCCAATCGGGCGTCGGGCCCGCAGTCTGGCGGTGCTCGCGGCCCCTGCCGGTCCTCTCGTCCCGCTCTCGCCGCAAGGCTGGAGTGGGCCTTCCCGACTCTCCGGCTCCACAGCTCTATGCCCTGGCCCTCGAAGCCGGTGGGCTCCCGGAGGGAGCGAGGCTCGACCCAAGGCCAGGGCTGCGGCCGGGGTGGACAGCGTGTGCGCACACGCCCAGATCGTCTGCAGGGAGGTGGCCGCCACGTGCTCCCAGGCCGAGGCCTTCTGGACCAGGCTTTACGCGCCAGGGTTAAGGCAGAGGCCGAGGCGCATGCCCGCCGCCTCTCAGAGGGCTCGGCCTGTAGGTCAGGGGGCGGCCGCGGCACCGCCCACCGACCCGCCGAGCCAATCCAAGCCTCCCTCCCAGACCTGTCTTCCTTCGCCCCTCCCCCACCAGCCGGGACGCGACGTCACCGCCCCGCCCCCGCGGGGACAGCCGCGCCCATTTGAGGAACTGGCCAGAGGGATAAATAGGGGAGTGGGTCTTTCCGGCCGGTACCGCGTGTAGGGAGAGAAGGCACCGGGCGTGTTCCTGGGTGGCTTAGCCCGAGCTCAGGGTACTGAGCAGCTGCGCTCGCGGGAAGGGAAAATGGGAAGGACTACAAGCCCCAGAGGGTAGTGCGCGTGCGCCTGCGTAGTAGATTGTACGCCGACGAGTTGAGACTTGGGCGCCTGCGCTCAATTCTCCCCCCCACCCCCACCGCGCCTCCTAATGTCGGGGGGTGGGGGTGGGGGTGGGGGTGGGGGTGGGCTTCGGGGCCACGATGTTCGCGGGTCGCTTGTCCCAGGACCTGTGGCCTCCGCGGGTCGGATGGGAGCGTCCATCGATGCATCTGTGTAGCCATCCCTGGGGCTGGAGGATGTCAGGGAGGAGGGAGGGCTTTCCTGGCAGCTTTTAAGATTCTGGACTGGGGGGGGGGGGCACCGAGGAAGTGTTCACCACCCCACCCCCACCCCCACCCCCGAGACCCCCAGAGCTGGCTGACGGCGTTGAGCTGGGCTGTGGATCTCTTCACTGCCCCCAGGAGCCTGAGCCAGAAACTAGGGTAAGGCTGCATCTAGCTGCCTTCACGTCTGCTCTTGCCTGCCTCATGGTACTCGGGTTGTGCCCTTGGAGACATGCGTCCAAGCCCTAGGGATCGTGGAAAGCCCTTACGGCCCTGCCAGCAGCTTCGCCTCTGGGCCAGGCTGTTTCAAGGCCACCGTTCCAGGTAGACATTACAAGTACCTGGAAGGCGTGAGTCCTCTCCTCTGTCGTGGACCCCATCCATCCCTACCAGGTGGCCACTGCCCAGGAAATCATTTACCACTTTAAGGGGCGATCAGCTGGCCTTGTTCTGTGGGATGGGGCCCCTGCCGGTGGGTAGCGCCAGGGCCTAGCTTGGGGTTAGGAGCTCGGTGGCGAGTCAGTTCAGCCCAGCCCAGCAAATGCTTTGGTCTTCTCTTGTAACTCTCGGTCCTGTGTCACTGCTTTTGGTGGCCCTCAGTCCCTGACTGTCTTCACCTGCCTCTTTCCCCATAGTCACTGGGCTACACGTCACAGATGAGCACACCCGGACTCCACTCCTTTCGACTGTGTCTCATCACCCTCCTTGGTCCCAATGTCCTTGAAAAGCCCCCTGGCCTGCCCCTGAACATCTCCCACAGCTCCTCTGGGTCTTCCCACCTGCCTGAAGCCCAAGCTTCCAGGAATTAAGGATGACCCAAGCCCATCACTGTCTCCTCATTCTGAAGCCTGGAGGGAGCTTTGTTGCAAAGGTAAGGACTAGAGGAAATGTTCTGGTGGGGGAGTCACCTCTTCCCCCCTCCCCTCAGGGCCAAGCCTTGACTCTGCTTTATTTCCAGCTTCAGCTCCTTATCCCTAAAGTCATCTGTGCCAAGCCCAGGAGCAGCCACAATTCTAGCACTGGTGAGTGGGGCTACACAGTACAGACCTTGGCTTGTGACTAGCTGGGGGAAGGGAGGCAGCCTTTTGACTCGCCTACCTCCAGTGCAATTGTCCCCCTTGCCAGTTGGCTTCTTCCTTCAAGAGGCTGATTTTCCCACGTCTATACTCTGCTTCTTCCCCTTTTCCCTCTGTGGCCAGCACAACCTCTCCCTCCAGGGTCCATCCAAGTTTCCTCTCCTTGCAGTTCGACTCTTGACCCTTCCTTGACCTTGACTCTGACTCTGCCCCTTCCTCAGAGGCAGACGTATTCTAGCCCCAGAGCCCATAATCTCTTGGGGGCAGGAAGGAATGTGGAACCGCATCAAATCCAGCCCCTGACCTCTGTAGCTTACTGAGGAGGGCAGGGACACTTGAGCCAACTTTCCAGCAGAGTGTAGTCAGAGCTATTAGAATGCAGACCAAGGGACAGCTCTGGAGGAACAGCCAGAAACTGGCTTGTGTCAGCAGGGCCCAACTTGATCCTCTGGAGCTTTGGGAGCTGAGGAGGAACTGGGTTGGGCCTGGGACTTGGAAAAGTGAATTTGGCAGAAAGGCCATGGAGGAAGCTCTGAGCACAGCCATCGGAACACTCGGAAGGTGAGGGCTGGGGGCAGTGGCAGCAGCAGGATGTAACGAATGCGCTGTGGGATCTGGGGAAATCTCCGCTCTTTGCCTACCTGTGGCCCTTCTCTAGGCACCGTCCTCAGGTTGGCTGTCCCATCTCGACCCCAGAGCCCGTCGTTTGAGTCTGCTGGGGTCTCGCTTCCCTTTCTAGGCCATCGCTCCCCCACTCTCCACAGCCAGCCTTCCCTCCCCCCCCCCCAGGGGCATGTGTGGTCTGCGAGGGCCACGCGCCCTTGCTGTCTGCGTCCCAGCGTGCCGAGCCCCCCACCAGGTCACAGCTGGAGGAAGCAAGGAGCTCTCTCTGTTGGTCCCTGGTTTACTTTGACAGCCTCTGTGGTCTAACTCAGCCCTTCTTGCCACCCAAGACCCGTGCATCATCCAGGTCTCTCTGATGGCCCCTTTGTTCCTTCTGGGTCAGCCTGCAGGAGGCCCTGAGTGCTGCTACAGGCCACCCGTCTGCTTGTCTTGGCGAGAGGCCTGCATCCTCTAAGAAGACTGGAGACCTGGCTTGTACATCTAGGAGCCCTCACAGGCAAGAGCAGGAGCAAAGCCCTGGGCTCCCCCTCCCCCGGCCAATAAAAGGCCTTCTGAATCCCCTAGCCCTCGTGTCTCCTGCCTCTTGATGGGTGGGAGGGCTCGGAGCGAGCAGCTCAGAATTAGGGAAACAGCTCACACACACAGCTCGGCCACTTGTGCCTCACCTAGTTTTATCTGACAATAACAAACCATTTATAAAAAGGGGAACTTTCTAGCAGAATGTGGGGGTGGAAGACATGGTGTCAGGGTCCTGCCCTCCAAGGACCCCTCCCCCCCAAATCCCCAGAGCCCCTTTGGGGGAGGGGGGCCACCGTGGCCAGGACTCCACCGAATGCCCAGGGCAGGTGCTTTGGACCCACCAGGGGGAAGAAAGAGAAGGGGGGTGGGGGAGGGCCCTCAGCTGATGAGGCGGTAGAAGATCCAGCAGCTGAAGGTGAGCCAGTGACTGGCCCAGCCGAGCTCAGACCACTTGCGGATGGTGTGGGACATGCCGTAACCCTGGGGAGGGGATGAGGATGGCAGTGGTGAAGGGGCCTGGGGGCAGGGCCACCCAAAGAATGGCCAAGCAACTCCCCATCCCTCAGACCTTGCCAGACCCTCCACCGGTTTGGGGGCAACGTCGTCCAAACCCTACCTGTTCCTCAGTGGCATCATCCGTGTCTACGTCAAAGAGGGAGCCCAGATAGGCCAAATGAAAGACAGCCAGGGCTCTGAAGAACAAGTTCAGCACCTGCACGCCCAAACCCTGGGGAGGACATGGGGAAGGCGGGGGTGAGGTAGCCCGGAAAGGGGTGGGCGTGACTGTGTCCAGGCTTTAGGAGGAAAGGAGGAGGGGGCAGAAGCAGAGAGGTCAGGGAGGGAAATGAGGTTCACCTTGGTCTAGGCTGGTTCTGGGGGAAGGGAAGGGCAAGTCATCTCACCGTGCGGTGTTGGTGTGCACAGTCGGGGGGGCAGCGCTTAGAGAGGACACAAGCGTTGAAGATGGTAGCCAGCCGCTTCCGGAGCACTGAGGACCAGGAGAGGAGAATTGGCAGTTCTTTGAAGGTCAAAGTTCCAAAGGGAGGCTTTCGGGGCCTGGGGAAGGAGATGAGGCATGCAGGAAAGGGGAGGGAAAGACAAGGCTCTCTAGAAGATGAGGGGAGGAAAGAGGCATCTTACCATGTTCCACATACGTGATGAAGGCAAGGGTGAGCAGCACGGCCCCCAAATGGAAACTGAAGCCCTGGGGGGTGGAGAGAAGGCGAGGCCATGGGGCAGAGGTGGGGCAAGAAGGGACAGCCCCGAACCTCCACCTCGCCCGCTCCTTACATGCAGGAGGGCACTGGCAGCGTAGGTCACGAGGAGGGCTGAGAGCTTGCCGAGGCGAAGGGAATTCTTGAAAACATCTGGAGAAGGTCAGGGAACAAGCCTCACTCTTCCCAGTTTGCCTTGGTTTGTCGGGGGCAGGGCAGGGCCTCAGCCACTTTCCCCTCCCCCCCCCCCCCCCTCCAACCCTGGGACGGATCAAGGTCTCTCATGCCATCTGGGAAGGAAATGGGATGGAGAGAGAGAAGTGCCCAGCTCCCTCCCTCCCCAGGGCCGGATCCCTGGCCCGGCCTCGCCTCCCGCAGCGGGACAGGGATGGGTCTCACAGGAATTGAGCCAGTGTGACATGGGCAGGTTCCAGCTGGTGACGACCTCAACCATGGACCTGGGGAGCTCCACGTTCAGGGGCCTCGACACAGTAAGGTCCCTGCAGGGGGTGAGTGGTTGGGAGGAGGAAGGGCTACGCCAGCTGCCGCCCCCACAGAGCCCAGCCTCGGGAAGGGGATCAGAGGAGCGAGGGCGATCCCCTACCACCGCAAGTGGTCCTTCTCCTCTGTGAAGCCCGCCCCAGCCAGCGTTGTTGTGCCTTCTGACAGGAAACCCACAAAGTAGTTACTGAAGTGGAATGAGATGGCGCTCTCGTAGGCGCGCAGCCACCTGGGGTGGGAGAAGAGCGGGGTGTCGTAGTGCCCCCCTCACTAGCCACCCAGATGTTAACTTGCTTCTCCTTCACAGAGACTCACCTGGCCACAGCGCCCCTGAGGGATGAAGTACAAAGAAGGGAAAAGAGAAGAGAGATGCGTCAGCAAGAACACGGAGGACAGAAGGAGGGGCTGACAGGCCTGAGTGGGCAAGTTGGATACCACTTACCTCACCTGGCGTTTCTTGCTGCAGATATGGAGGCATGGGGAGGGGAGAGGAGAAAAAGTCAGGGGTGCTCGGAATGGGAGGCAGACCGGAGTGTAGGTTAGAAGCCGGAAGAAAGGGTGATGCTGGGGGTGGGCCACAGGCCCCATAGGCTGCCCCATAGCTCACCTGCGCAGCAGCCGGTCCCCATAGAGCGGGATGAAGTAAGGAAAGAGGTAAGGGCCCACACAGGTGGAGACTACCAGGCACAGGAGGGCCCGGGCCAGGCTCCCTGCCACCTTCCCCAGCCACGTGAAGCTCTGCAGGACACGGGGGAGGCGGGGAGATGGCTGTCAGGGGCTGCCCTGGCCGGCCTCCTCCCACCCTGTCACCAGCCCACAGCCCCTGCCCTGTCACCAGTGGTCGGCCCTCGACAGCGTGGAGATAACTGCGGAAGTGGAGCCAGGGCCCGAAGACGATGGTGCCCACGAAGTAGAGGTAGCCCATGAACTCCACGGGGGAGGGGACCGCACCCAGCTCACCCCGATCCAGGTCAAAACCCAGGGACACAGCTTTCATGGCGACGATCATCTGGGCCCCTGCAGGTGAGCGAGCAGGCGGACGACGGCAGGCGCGTGCACCCAAGGGGTTGGGGGGGGGGGGGCAGCCAACCAACCAGGGGCCAAGGAAGGTACCGAGGGATGGGAGGGCAAAGTTCAGGAGAGGGAAGGGCTCAGGATTTGGGGTTTCTGCCCTGGGTAGGGTACTTACCCCTCATCTTGTGCCAGGTCACAGTATCCACCATGTGCATCTCCCTGCGAGGGGGGGCCGCATTGGGCCTTACGGTCCATTATTTGTTTCTCTTTCCCAGCTCCCTTTGCCCGCCCCAGCCAAGTGCCCCATCTCCTCTATCTTCCCTCTCCCGCAGCCTGGGGCCCTACCCCATCAGAAGATAGATGAGGATGGTGACGGAGAGGAAGACGCCACGGTGAGATGAGTGTCGGCACAGGAAGAGGACCAGGTAACACAGGAGGCTGAGCAGCACCACCCACACCATGTGCCGTTGGAAGAAGTGGTACAGGCTGAAGAAGCCGCCAGCCACTGTGCTAGCGTGTTTCACAGCTGGGGGTAACCCTGCAGAGTGACAGGGAGGAACCCCCCCCACCCCAGCTAAGGAGCCAGCCTCCGGGAAGTGCCCTCCACCCTGCCCTGTACCCTGAAGAGCCTCCTCAAGGAAGCCTGGTTCCCTTCCAGAAAGCTCTCCCCCAGTAGCTAGCCTCCAGAAAGTACCCCCCCCCCAAACCCCAAGGAGCCAGCCTCTCGAAAGTCTGGGGCCCCCCCCAGGACCCAGCCTCCAGGAAGCCCCCTGCCCCTCTGCCCTCCTCTCCTCCCAGAGGGATCAAGGACCAGCGCAGCCCACTCACCAAGTCTCCAAAGGAGGCGGCAGGTCAGGCAGACAGCCAGCAGAAGCCACAGCTGGTCCAGGCCCTGCTGGGCAGTGGGGACCACGCAGCCCTGCACCAACTGCTGGAAGAAATCCTGCCGGCTGAAGGTAGCCATGGCGACGATGAGCCCGGGGACAGGGCCAAAGAGCTGGTCAAGGATGGGAGAGTGTGGGAAATGGGATCCCAGCACAAGTTGTCATGAGGCTGGGGCCACCCCCTCCTCCCTGCACATCAGGCTGGGCATGTGACTGGGACTGTGGCCGCACTCTTCATATGTGAGTTCAGGGGATGGGCCTGCTGCTGTATCCCCGTGAATTCGTGTGTGTGTGTGTAATGAGCTGGCATACTGGTGTGATGTGTGAGGGGTTGCCACATGCTGCTGTGTGTAATTGTGAGGCTGGCCTGTTGGCCAGCGTAAGGGGTGTGTGTGTCTGTGTATCTGATGGGCTGGGCGAGCAGCGTATCCCTGTGTGTGATAAGCTGGCCTACTGACCAATATAGTCGTGTGTGAGTGTGTGAGTGTGTGTGTGTGTGAGTGTGTGTGTGTGTGTGTGTGATGGGCTGACCTGCTAGTGCATCCCCTTGTGTCTGTGTGTGTGACGGTCTGGTTTGCAGGTGTACGTGTGTGTCTGTGACTGTGTGTGTTATGGGTTGGCCTTCCGGTGGATCCCCCTGGGGGTTTCATGAGCTGCCCTGCCGGTGGATCCCCGTGTGTGTGGGGGGGGGGAGCGTTAAGGGGCCGCACGTGTCCCTCTCTTTGCCATCGTTCCCCCTCCCCGCTTTGGTCCGAGTGGAGGGGGTTGGAGGGGGATGATGGAGGAGATGGGAGAAGATGGGGGGGATGCTGACCAGGGACCTCCTCTCTTTCCCTTCTTTCCCCTTTCTTCTCCATCTATGGCCCAGAGAATGGGGAAGGGATTTTCCTCCACCTCCCCCTTACCTGGCCGCCTCGTCCTCTGTTGGCCACCGAGGCGGCTTCCCTTCCAGCCACCTTCTCCACCGGCCCCAATCACGTAGGGTTGACGGCGGCCCCTTTAACGCAGCGGGGAGGTCGGCTCTGAGCCAGGGAGTTCGGAGCCAATGAAGACGCGTAGATCGTTTGCGCAACCAATGGGACTGCGGTGAAGTAGGGGGAGCAGAAGGAGCCGAGGCAGCCGAGTGAGCGGGGGGGGGGGGGGGGGTGAAAATGAAAGAGGTGACCAATGAGATTGAGTCGAACGTTCGGTAGACCAATGGGAGCCCGTCGAAGCTGGGAAAAGGTACATTACCGGGGCTGGCGGGGCTGGCGGGGCTGGCGGGGCTGGAGGAGCTGGAGGAGGTGAGTGGAGAGGAAGGCTGCTGCCAATGGACACGCGCAGAATATTCGCGTGACCAATGGGAGTGTGGCGCGGGCGGAGGAGGAGGAGGAGGAAGAGAGAGGAGGAGGGGAAAAGAGAAGAGGATCAAAAAGGAGAAAAAAAGAGGAAGGGGAGAATAAGAGAAAAGAGGGACCAAAGATTGCGAAGGGAAAGAGGAGGAGGAAAAGAAGGGGAACCGATCTCCGATTAGATTGTAAACTACATGAGGGCAGGGACTATCTTTTGCTTTTATGTCCCCAGGTATAGTGCCTGGTACATAGAAGTTGCTTAATGAAGGTCGGTTAACTGATAAAGAAGAGGAGGGGAGGGAGGAGGTGTAAAGAAAAAAGGGAGAGGAGGGATCAAAGAAGAGGAAAGGAAGAAGGAAAAAAGGAGCAGGGGGAACCCGAGGGGAGGAGGAAAAAGGGAACGGGGGGGGAGGGGAGGAAGGGGACCCGGGGGGAGGAGGGAACAGAGAGCAGCTGCTTCACTGCGCTGTTTGAGATTTCTCCGTCCGATTTTGGATAGGCTGGACAGCCAGTGTAAATTGCGAGGCTGGCGGTGCAGGGTGTCAGAGAATTCGGGGTCCCGCTCGGCCTCAGTCCTGCCTTGCTGTTGGCGGTTCTTTAGAGCTGCCCAGATTCTATAACCTTTTTTTTTTTTTTTTTTTTTTTTAACTTTCTGATGGGGCAATCAGGGTTAAGTGACTTAACCAGGGTCACACAGCTAGTAAGTGTCAAGTATCTTAAGCCGGCTTTGCAGATTCTATATCCTTAAAGACTTTATCTCCTACTATATTAAAAGCCACCAGCATTTTTGTCGAGTCTACTCTGTGGGCGCCCGGCGGCGGAGACAAAAGAGTGAAGGGAAATAGTCCCAGCCTGGCCTCCGAGAGATTGCATTCTAAAGGGGAGACATATTCACTGCTGAATTTCATACGAGAATTTGAGGAAGGAGGGAGAGGGCGCTAACAGTAAAGTCAGGAAAGCTGGCCCTCGCGTCGTGGGCAGCACCTGAGCAGAACCTAAAAAGAAATTCTAGGAGGCGGAGGCGGAGTATCTTCCAGACCTGGGGAACACAAGCCGGTGCAAAGTTCCAGAGGTGGGAAATGGAGGATCATGTGTGAAGACGGTGCTGGTAGATGAGATTATCATGGGAATACCTTTGCCCTATAAGTGTGACAGGGACCCCCCCCCAGCACCTCCGGCCTCCTCAGTGCTCTTCATCAGTGACCTCTTAGTTGGTTACGCGAACATTTTGAAAAGAGTTTTCTTCGCGGGACTCTTCCTTTGCAGCTCAGATGGCCCTGCCTCTCCCTGAGTTTCCTTGTCTCAATTGAGGGTCAGGGTTAGACTGTTGCACCTTCCGGGTTTGACCTTCGGTGTTCTAAAAGGAGGCAGGAATAAGCCTGTCTCGAGCGAGAGAAAAAGGTTAGGGACCTCCTGGGGGTCCGGGAAACGAGAAAGGATCCCCCGAGACAGAGGAGAGCAGTCAAGGGGAGCGGCATGGGGCGGGGGGGGTGGAGCTTCTAGCGCTCTCGGCTCCTATTGGTCCCCTGAAGCCAGGGGGCGGGGACTGACGTTCCCAGAGCCGAGATGGCGGCCCCGGCGGGTTTGGGGGGGGGGGGGGGACGACGGTGTGTGCATGCGTGGATTTTGTATGTTCCTGGGCGTGTGTGGTGCGACAGAGGTGCGTGGGCAGGGGCCGCGCAGTGGGCACTCATTGGCACGCTCCAGGCAGGAAGAGGCTCGGGGACGTTCCGCGGCTTCCAATTGGCCACGCGACAACGCCATATCGGCTTAGGGCGGTCCTCCAGCCAGGAGCCTGGGGGGGGCAGGGAGTCCAGGCTCGCGCGCTCAACGCCCATTGACCGCCTTAGGCCGGAGGGGCGGGCCTTGCGGAGCTCCCATGGCGGTGATTGGCCGACTCCTCGGCGGAGGCGGGCCACGGCGGAGACACCTCCCGTAACCTGCGTGGAGGGGTGAAGGGATGGAGGAGGGGAGGGCTGGGCCCGACCGAGCAGTTGTTGGTGAAGGTTTCGGTTAGTCGGGACTGCCCCAGCGATACCGCGCCGCGTCGGGCTGCAGTGGGATCCTCCGGGGAGTCTTGTGAGTCCTTGGCCTTGATCTGACCTCGGGCTCACGCTTCGGGGGGAGGAGGTGCGCGCCCCAACTCTCGCTTCTGTCTCTGCAGAAGCCAGAATGCCTCCCCGTCTCCTCCGTGCATGCGCCGGGCTTCCCTTGACTTTCCGCGCCCGCCTCCAGGAAGCCCTCCTGTCGGGGTGATCTCACCCTGGGAGCCCCGAATGAGCAGGCCCACTGGCACCTGGCTCCTTCGTTTCCCCTTAATGCCTTTGTGACTTCTCCGGGTACCCTCGGCTGGCTGCGTCCCCCAGCGCCCCCAGATCCTCGAGGGCAGGGGCAGCTCCCCTCTTGGCGCCTCTCAGGCCTTCCGCGGCCTTCACCCCATTTTCTGTTTCTCATTCTAGGATCCTGGCCAGAGAGCTTTCCTTCCCCGTCCCTCGCCATGAACTCTCGTCATGTGGCACACCCTTACTGGCCCCGAAACCTCCAGCTCAGTGGTTATGTACCCAACGATAGACCAGTGTGGCAGATCCTCACAGTCTTCTTTTCTGGCTCGGGGGCGCTCCTGGCGGTTACCTGGCTGTTATCTGGCCAGAGGAGGCGAGAGAGGGGAACCCTGGTGCCAGCTCTGGACCCCTGGCGTCGCCTGGCAGTCTGCTGGTTTGCCATGTGTGCCTTTGTGCACACGGTGATCGAAGGCTGGTTCAGCGTCTACAATCAGGACATTGTTCGGGACCAGGCCTTCTTGTCGCAGTTGTGTGAGTTTTTGGGAAGGGGAGGCCAGGGTTCTCACCTCAGCTTGCTGAGTGTTGCTGTGCCGGACACCCGTGCCTTTGGGAGTTCTTGGGGCTGCCCTCTTCCCTGGAGGGAGGACAGACCAGTACTGGGTGCTAATCCTCTCCACACAAGTTCTTACCCAGTAGAAGGGCACTGAAGTCAGTTCAGCTGGACTGAGTGCAAGATTTGCCTAGCCTAGCCCTTTGGCTCTGGCCCTCAGGAGCCACTCAGTCCCCCCTGGGATGCCCTCCCAAGCCTGGACTGCTGCTTTATGGCTTGTGTTCTCTTGCAGGGAAGGAGTACTCCAAGGGTGACAGCCGCTACGTTCTGTAAGTAACCCTGAGTGCTGCTCCCCACCCCGGTACTTTTTGGGTTTTTTTTTTTTTGCATTTTGGTAAGGCGATTAGGGTTAAGGGACTTGCCCAGCCCAGGGTCACACAGCTAGTAAGTAATTAAGTGTCTGAGGTTGGATTTGAACTGAGGTCCTCCTGACTCCAGGGCCAGAGCTCTATTCACTGGGCCACCTAGCTGCCCCAAAATAAGTTCAATTTTTTTTTTTTTTGATGAGACATACTTGCCCATAGTCACATAGCTAGTGAGTGTTATGTGTCTTAATGCCAGATTTGAACTCAGGAGCTCCTGACTCCAGGGCTAGTGCCCTATCTACCATGCTACCTAGCTGCCCCTCTCCTAGTACTTCTTTGGAATGTCTTAGCTCTTCTCTGGATGGAAGTGTGTGGAAGTGGTGGGAACTTTCCTAATGTCATGTATTGTACTTCTGGGACAGAGCAGACAACTTCATTGTGTGCATGGAAACAGTGACAGCCTGGGTGTGGGGCCCACTCAGCTTGTGGGCTGTGGGTGCCTTTCTGAGACAGAGGCCAGAGCGCTTCCTTCTCCAGCTTGTTATTTCCTTGGGTGAGTGGGCCTTTTGGGGGAGGTGGGGGAGGCAGGGAGACTTTGAAGGCTGGATTTCTGTTGGAGACCCCAGGAAGATCCTGGTGCTCCTTCCTGTATATTGACTAATCTCTGGGGGGCTTTGCTCTCAGGCCAGCTGTATGGTGACGTCCTTTATTTCCTCACTGAGTATCGAGATGGCTTCCAGCATGGGGAGCTCGGGCATCCACTCTACTTTTGGTTGTACTTCGTCTTCCTGAATGCCTTGTGGATTATTGTGCCTTCTGCCCTCCTCCTGGATGCCTGGCGACAACTGGTGCTCGTCCAGTCGTTGGCAGATGCTGCTGCCGGCCCCCAAGCCCAAAGAAGGCAGCACGAGCATCTCCAGTGAAGATCTGCACTGGTGGGGGGGGGGGGGGGGGGGGCTGGAAGGGTCCCCTGGAAGCACTTTCTCACATTGAGCCATCCCTCCCTCCTGGCACTGTTGGATTTTTGTAGCACTGTGTTGTTCAGGTAGCTTCTTCCTCATTTGCCCAATTTGTGGGGCAGTTCAGGGACCTGGTCTCTCTCTACTCCCCCTCCATCCCACCCCCGAGGATCTGCCCATGACAGTTTTAATAAAGGCTGCTGAAGGAGGCCCCAAATGCCCAGCGAGTGAATGAGTGGGGTGTTTCGGTGCTGCTGAATCAGGGACGAGACACCCACCCCCCTGGCCCTTCCGGCAGGTCCTGGGGGTAGGCAGTCATGGCTGGCACAAGAATGGGTGTTCAGGAAAGACACGGTAGTGGAGGGCTAGCGCGGGCCAGAGAAGCACGACTGGCAGAGGCCCCGGGAACTCGGGCCATTCGATTTCACAGGGAGGCAGCACGGCGAACCGTGCCAAGTCACTAGGCCGAGGCCCCGCCGCGCTCTGTGCCCTGCTGCGTGGCAGAGGGAGGGAACCGGTGCACGCGCCGGGCCCGGCCGGCCTCCCCCCCCCCCGCGCGCGCGCGCGCGCCTGCGCATTGGGCTCAGCCTGGCGTCGGCTGGCCCGAGGTCCCCTGGCCCAGACCAGCTTCAGGAGAGAGGAAGGGGATACGCTGGCACTGTGGGGCAGCAGGACGAGGTGCAGCTGTGCTCGCTCGCCTGCCGGGCCGCACAAGGCGGGGCAAAAGCGACTGAAATCTCGAAGGGGTGGGACAAGGCCGGCTCGTCCCGGCCACGAGGGAGTGCGCAGGCGCGCGGCGCCTCTGAGCAACACTCAGAGGGTGGGGGTTGGGGAGCGGAACTCTCCGAGAGCCCCCGGTGGGCATGTGCGCCTGCGCACTTGGAACGTAACAGTCACCCTGGGAGGTGCCGGTGCCGGTGCCGGTGCCGGTGCCGGTGCGAGGCAGCTGGGCCCCGGGTCAGAGCAGACGGGATGGCGGCCTCCCCGGGGAGCGGAGGAGCGGCGGGAGCGGCCGAAGACGAGGAGCAGCGGGAAGTGGTCCGGGTCCGAGTCAAGGTGAGGCCGCGAGCCCTCCTGACCCGAGGCGGGGGTGGGGGGGGGGGGTGGCCCTGGATGGAGACTGGACGGGAACCGACGGGGGAGGGGGTGCGCTCGTGTGACCCCCACCCCCCCCCGACCGACTCCGGGGGCCGGCGGCGGCGGGCAGGGACCCCGGGGGCCCCCCCCCCCCAACTCTACAGAGGAGGAAACTGAGGAAGCAGGGGGAGGGGCGAAGGGCCTCCCTGTTGCACACGGGAGCCTGAGCTTTTTCCGCTGAGACCTCTAAGTTTCAAAACAGGGGTCCTGGAGTGACGAAAACTCCCGAGAGCAGCCGCCGCCTCCCCCCAGCTGACCTCGGGCCTTGCCCTCTTTGGGCCCGTCCCAGGGCCTCCGTGGGGTCAGGCAGGGAATCTGGGAAGCACCAAGCCGACTGACCAGGTACTGAGTCTGGCCCTCGGTGGAGCTTTGTGTTCTCACCAAATAGGTGCTTGAGGCGCGTGGCAGCATCAGAGGGAGGTCAAGTCAGAGCTAGACTTGAAGTGGGGGTGGGGTGTTTGGAATTTGGCCTTAGCGATCCTCGGGGACTTTTCGGCTGGCATAGTGTGGGTTAGCTCAAGGCCAGGCACTTAATCCACCTGGGGGATGGAAGTGTGACAGCAGAAAAGCCCTCTCAGTGCTGTGAGGAGGCCAGCTTTTGCATCTCGTTGCTGGGGGAATGCCCTGTCTAGCCAACTCCCCAGCTCTCCAGCTCCAGCCCCAGGTCCAAACTGGGGGTGGGGCGAAGGAAAGTTCTAAACAGCTTCTAGAAACCGGGGCCAAGGGGAGACCACTTGGAGTTGGCTACTTCCCACCAGACCTGGTTGGATTCAGATCAGTCCCCTGGCATTGCGGCCAATTTGGGCCTTGAACCAGTTCTTATATTTAGACAGTCGAGGAGCCCCAGTCTTCCTGCATGGCAGCAAGCCTAAAAAGGAGGTGAGTGTGTTCCATGGGCCCAGTGAACCCCTGACTGTTTAGGTCCTGCCTCTTGGGAGCTTCCAAGGTAGGAGGCCTGGTTGTTGAGGCAATGTTGGTGACAGCGGACCCAACCTAAGGAAGTCTGGGATCCCGGAAGGAGTGAAGTCTCTTGGGATTCGTCCTTCTCAACTTGGTTTTCACTCTTGAGGAGCCAGGCCAGCTTGCCCACTAGGATGTCCTGTCTCTCTCAGAAGTTCGAAGGCTTTCTGCAGCCTGACTTCCGGACATTCGCTGTGGATCCCCAGATCACCTCCCTAGATGTGCTACACCACATCTTGATGCGGACCTTCGACCTGAGTGGGTGAGTAGGCAAGCGCGTGAGCAGTTCAGGGCAGGGCAGCCTGGGTCACGCCAGGCCGGCTTGGCCCCGGTTTCCCTGGCCGCCTGAAGCTCTTCTCGGCTGTGAGAAATGCTGTTTGGTGCTGGGCGACAGTGCACGCTCTCAAGTAGCTTCCGTTCTACTGGGAGGAGGGAGAGGCTGTGGGAAAACAGGCCCCTGAGAACCTGGGATGGAGCTAGCAACAGGGTCAGCACTTGTGCCTCAGTGATACAGACCGCCGCCAGCCTTACATTCCAGAAAAATTTCGTTTCCAAAAAGGAGGAGGCAAATGATCCCTGTCAGTCACTGCTAGGCACTATGCAGTGGTTTGTCACTGAAAAGCATCCCAGTCCCCTGCTCTCTCCAAGCAAGGGCAGCTCAGACATTTTGAAGCAGCTCTTGCCTCTAAACCCAAGAAACCCAGTATGTGTTTAAGCAGACAAAAATTAAGTCAAGTTAGCAAGCACTTATTAAGCGCTTACACAGTGCCAGGCACTGTGCTGTGTGACCTGGGGAACACGAAGACGTGTAGAAAGAAAGATAGTCCCTGACGTCAAGGGGCTTCCATTCTAATGACACCAAAGTCGTGCTGAAAAATGGAGGGAGGGCGGGGGGGTTGGGGAGGGAGTGTCGGGCAGAAGGCGCCCAAGCGAGGACGTGAAAGAGAAAAGCCTGAGATGCAGGAGAGGAGCCTGGAGGCGATGAAACAGAGATTCTGGAAGGACGCAGCTGGTCACAGGGAGTCCAGGGCACGTGAGGCTTCTGGGGAACACGCCACAGACAAAAGTCCAGGGAGGAGTCAGAAACAAGGGCATCCCCAGAGCCTGCTGCCTTTTGCTCAGTTGCCTTGCTGAGCTGTCTCTTCCTACGTGGCGCCCCCTTTACCTAGCTCTGGCCCCAGATTTCCTTCCCACATCCCTGTTCCATTTTCTTCTGCTGGTCCTTCACCACCGCTTAGGGGGCGAGGAGCCCCCCTTCCAGCCTGGGTTAAATCGAGCTTAGCTGGGTACTCACGATGACTGCTGCTCTGCCCAGGGCACCTCAGAAGCTGTAGGACCCACAGCCTCCAGTCAGTTGCCAGTGGCACGGGCTAGCCAAGGCGAAGACAGAACCCGGCCCGAGGTCTTCCTGAACTTCTGTCTTCCCAGGAAGAAGCACTTTGGTATCAGTTACCTGGGCCGAGAGAAATTGGGTCCTGAGGCCTACATCCCACTGACCTCGGAGGGAGATCTGAGTGCCGCATTCAACAGTGCCTCCCAGCCCTACCTACAGCTTCGAGTGGACGTCAGGCCTTTGGAAGATAGTGCGTATGGAGCCCCCACTGAGCCCTCTCCTTCCCTCCATCGAGTTCATGTGTTAGTGCAGATTACGCCGGATCCTTCAGAAAGAGAATTTTGCAGGCTGGTTAACGGGGCTACTGGCAGGAACTAGGCCCAGGAGTGGCGAGGTCTGGGGCTGGGCCACTGTGGGGGAGGGGGGTCAGGGGCACGAGAGCCTGAGGGGCCTCCTCTGTCTCATTTTTGGCCAGTATCCTTCCGCCATCATACAGACAACGTGCCTCATTTAGGTCCCCTCTTGGAAGATTGGGACATCATTAGTCCCAAGGACGTCATTGGCACCGACCTGCTGCCTGTAGAGAAGCGTTCCCTGACGGCTGTGGCTCTGCCTTTCACACAGTCCATCATCTCTCAGGTGTGTAAACACTGCCTTCAGCTCGGAAAGCCCTGGGGTGTCCTCGCAGGTGCCTTACTTGCCCCATTCACGTACCACGCTGCACATTTTGGAGCAGCTGAAAGAACATGGAACTTGGAGTTAGGAGGTCCGAGTTCTGATCTCACTCGCTTTATGCGTGGAACTTTTATTTTTGCTTTTGAGTCTCAGTTTCCTCATCCACAAAATGGGGATACACGTAATTGTTTTACCTGCCTACCTTGTAAGGAGAGCCTTTGTTAACTTCGAGACACTTAGAGAAATGGGAGTCCTTGTTATCGAACTGAACTCAAATATGCCCTCATTTCTCTCCAGTCCCCTGGTGCATCTCTCTCTGTGGGGAGGTAGGGGTGGGCACAGTTCGGAGAACAGGTTGGTCATGGTGAGCTCTGTCCCCCACCCCCACTTCTGTGTGTTTTCCAGGTGGGTCGGACCCTCTCCAAGGTCCAGCAGGTCCTGAGCTGGTCCTACAGGGAAGATGTCAGACGTTTTAAGCCCCCACTCAGTGATGCTGAGTTTCACACCTACCTGAATCGGGAGGGCCAGCTGTGCCGGCCTGAAGAGCTGCGGCTGCGGATTTACCACGGAGGAGTGGAGCCTTCCCTCCGCAAGGCAAGCGACAGGGTGCCCTTCCTCTCTGAGGGCACAGGCTGATTGCACTGTCTGTCCTTTTCCTTAGACCTTTCCATCTTGGCCCCACGTTACCCCCAGTTTTCAGCCCGAAGCCTTCTGCTCAGCCAGTCAGGGAGGGAACAGGGGAGGGCCTCTCCCGCCTCTGGCTTCTGCATCACCAGGCTCACGGGCATGGGACTGCATGTGCGTGTGCGTGGGGGCACACGGGATCGGGCTAGCGGTGTGTTAGCACAGCTTCATTTGGCCTGAGTCCAGAGAAGCTCCTCTGCTCATCGGGTCTATCACTGAGTCCTATTGCCACTTGTTCTTGGCTCCAGGTGGTATGGCGATACCTGCTGAATGTGTACCCTGATGGGCTGACGGGCCAAGAGCGTATGGATTACATGAAACGGAAGACACTGGAATACAACCAGCTGAAGAGTGAGTGGCACCAGCGCGCCAGTGCTGAGGACTTGGAGTTCATCCGGAGCAGCGTTCTCAAGGACGTGCTGCGTACAGACCGGGCTCACCCCTACTATGCCGGTCCCGAGGACAACCCCCACCTCATTGCTCTGCACGATTTGCTCACCACGTACGCGGTCACTCACCCCCAGATTTCTTACTGCCAGGGCATGAGTGACATTGCCTCTCCCATCCTGGCCGTCATGGATAACGAAGGCCATGCTTTTATCTGCTTCTGTGGTATCATGAAGCGTCTGGAGGCCAACTTCCGCGTAGATGGAGAGGCCATGTCCATCAAGTTCTCCCACCTGAAGCTCCTGCTGCAGCATTCAGACCCAGAATTCTATAGCTACCTCCTCTCCACTGGGGCTGACGACCTCTTCTTTTGCTACCGTTGGCTGTTGCTTGAGCTCAAGCGGGAGTTTGCCTTTGAAGATGCTTTGAGGATGCTGGAGGTAACTTGGAGCTCCTTGCCCCCAGACCCACCTGAAAAAGAGGTAGAGCTTGTGGGCTTTCCTGCCCCGGCCAGAGATGGCGAGCAGCCCGTCCGCCAGAGGCACATGCTGAGGCCCACATACTATGGCTTGGACAAGGCTGGAGACAAGGTGCTGCACGCAAGGGGAGAGAAGAAGGAAGAAAGCCTGGGAACGGAGGAGAGTGAGGAGGTGGGCCTTCGGAAGAGGCCCTTGGCCAGACAGGCCAGTGTTGGGGAACATGAGCCTTACAGGGCCCAGGCTGGGGAGGACATGCAGTGGGGCATCCCCCACCAGCTACTGGAGCAGCTGCCAGTGGAGGAGGGCGACGGGACGGCCGACGTCCTCGTTCCACTGGCGCTGCCTCTTCATATGACCAAGTCCTTCTCGGCTCCTTCCCTGAGGCCTTTGATGGTGCCGCCTTCCCCTTCGGCAGCCCGATCCCCTTTGTCCACAGAGCCCAACCGGGCAGAGGAGAGTAACGGCGCCCGGACCCCTTCTGACAAGGGTGGCTCTCTGGGGAAAAGCCTGTCCTCGCCCTGCTCATCTTCGCTTCTGCCGCCACCGCCACCAGCTGGGGCAGCTGTGAGCCTCCCGCCGCCCCAGGAGTTTGGCCGGGGAAACCCGTTCATGCTGTTCTTGTGCTTAGCTCTCCTGCTTGAGCACCGGGACCACATCATGAAGCGGAGTATGGACTACAATGAGCTGGCCATGCACTTTGACCGCCTGGTGCGCAGGCATCACCTTGGGAAGGCCCTGCACCGGGCTAAGACACTGTTCGCTGACTACTTGCAGTCTGAGATGTGGGACTCCGAGGAAGGCGACGAGGCTGCAGCGGACTCTCCCCCTCCTGCCGCCGCCGCCGCCGCCATGGCCGCAACCTCCTAACCCCAGGAGTCTCCCCTTCTCCCTTCCCCCTTCCCCCTCTCCATCCTATCTGTGCCAGCTGCTCCCAAGAAAGGGTGGAACAAACCGCCAGCTACCTCCCTCTGCCTCTGCCTCTGCCTCTGCCTCTGGCTCTGCGTTCCCCTTCTCTGCCTGCCTCCCACGGAACGTGGCATGGTTAGCCCTTGGTCTACGGGCCAGCGGTTCTCGAGGCCTCCACACAGAGAGCCCAGTTTCCTTCTGTTGGTCACTCTGAGTTGAGAGGCCTTTCCCATTGCTTCTGAATGCAGCCTCTAGGTCCCCTCTTTGTTTTGAGGGGCATTTGGTTCAGGGTATTTCAAAGCCGTTCTTTTAAGCCAGCAGACACTCTTGGGTAGTGGCTTTCCTGAGCCCTGTATCTCTGTTTACATTCTTACCCGAATGTAAACTGTTTACATTCTCACTTTTATTGAGTGAAACAGGGTTGGCTTGCCCACATCACAGTGATGGGAGATTTGGGCAGAATGGCTCCTGGGGGCTGGATACGTGACGTCCAAGGGAAGCAGGAATGAGGGGTGCCACCCTTCAGCTCCCAAGCTCAGAGGCCTGTATCTGATGGGGAAGCCTTGAGGTGGGTTCTCAGGGTGCTGCCCCCCCCCCCCCAGATGCAATTACTATGGCTGCTTGTCCCATCCACTGGGGAGGTGAGGGAGCTACCGCCAGGCATTCCCAGGAATCAGCTGCTTTATTGTGTGAACAATAAACACCTGCCAACTTCCAAGGCCTGACTTCCTGTTCCTTTTTTAAACAAAGGTTCAAAGTGCCTCCTTGGGAGGGCGAGGGGCGTCATTCCTGCATGGGAACAAGTCCTCCGCCTTGTTTTCTTGGAGTTGGGGGCCAGCGCCTGGTTTTCTTCCATCACCACTTTTCAGCTTTGTCTGTAAAGCGGGAAAGTCTACTTCCGTGTATGAGGCAGGAGAGCTGGGGGCGGGGCGGGGTGCATGTGTTTGCTGGTCACGGACGCTTAATTCTGGATCCCTGGAGGCAGACATTACACTTCATTGGCAGATGGGGTTCCGAGAGAGAGAGAGAGAGAGAGAGATACAGAATGACAGAGGGGGCACAAAATTTTGAGGAGAAGGCTCTTCTCCGTGGGTACGTTCTTTGGAGCTCACAGCCTAGGAAGGGAAGAATGTAATACTCCAACGTTTACGAAGCCCGATTGTATACCAGGCCTGTGCTGAGCACAGGGGGCCGTGGACTAAGACCCCAGACACTTGGGTTATGCAGATTCAGAGCAGAGTTTGGGCAAAGCGTAGACAGCAACGATTTATTGATACAACCCCATATGTACAGATAGAGTAAAGGGTAGAGCCCTGTGAGCTTCTCATGGGGCAAGTAGTGGGGGGAGAGATTTACTCTCTGGTCAAAGGCCCAGAATTGCTAGGAGCCCTGGTTTTCACACAGAGAGTCTGCATGGCAGCAATTATGTTGTTCGTGCACTGATGGAGGTCCGTAGAAATTAACCATGAAGGCCTCTTCGGCGTGAGGAACGGGACATTGTAAACAGGAGGTAGGGTTTTGGCAGCCGCGGTGTCTGGCACATAGTAGGTGCTTCGTAAATGTTTTTTGACTGACTAGGGCTGGGTGCAGTTTGAACCATAAGCATACTGGTGCTGTTACGACAGGAGACAGACCTAGGAGAGTGGGATCATAGCCTCCTTTGTCTATCTAGCTTGACTTCCAGCAGCTTCTATTCCTGGGAGTGGGGGAGCCAGCATTTCCACAGATAAGTACAAGACAAAGTAATTTGAGGAAGGAGAAAGTAGTAACAGAGAGACCCAGCTGGCAGTGGGACAGATTCAAGGGGGGAAAAGATTGGAGAACTGCAGATGTGAAGATGATGATCCGGTACTCACGGCTAGGTCTAGGGAAGTCCCCTCATCTCGGGTTTTTAAGCCCTTCTACATGTGTGTGTTATAGAGGTGCAAAAAAAGCACTTGATAAGGCCTGAGGTAGAAAGCCAACAAGGGATGAAAGGTGAGGCTCCTGGAGAAGGTGGCATTCTGTTGGCCTTTAAAGGATGAGTACGGAATTAGCATGGAGAGGGAAAGGGAGGAGCAAAGGCAAAGGCTGGAAGGTAGGAGAGGGGAAAGTGGGTCCAGTTTGGCCTAAGTGGAGTCTGGAGAAGAGCAAGAAAAGAATAGGAAGGGGTTGTGGAATGCCAAGGGAAGAGTCTGACCTTGACTTGAACAGGGAGGCACTGCGGGGTTCTGAGCCAAACTACATATGCATCAGAAAGCAGGATTAGAGGTGAGAAGTGACTCCGGGATAGGTAGGATGGTAGACGGTGGCAGGTGGGAACAGATGGGAGAGAATTAGCTCAATGTTAAACAGGTTGAGTTGGAGGTACTGATTATACGCCTAGCTGGCAAGAAAGATCCTGTGGCTAATTGGAAATAGGAGTTTGGGGCCTACTGGAGATGATGGTTTTGTAGTTATTTACATAGAGATAGTAGTTGATAATGGGGTCGTGAATGAGATTATCAAGGAAGAAGAGAGAAAGAGAGAGAGTCCAACAGGGAGAAGACCCAGGATAGATCCCATCGAGGCTGGGAAGACGGAGAAGTCTGAGAAACAGGGAAATCGGAAATCAAGAGAGAAGATGTTCTCCAGCCATAGAGAAAGGTAAAGAGGATGACTAAGGAAACCCAATTTGAGATCTAGATGGCTTTGTCCCCAGAGCTGAAAGATAAAAGTGGGGAGAGAGATGGAGAAGCACCTAGATGGTCTACAAGGATAAAGAACATTTGAGATGGGGGGGATCTCCTACTGACGGGGAGATTGGAGATGAGAAAGGGATGATTGCTCAAGCAAGGTACCAGAAGAAGGAATAGAAGGAAGAGAGATTCACTTTAGTAATGAGTAAAGCTATCTCATTTGAGCACACAGGGAGTTCTGGGGAGATGGCCTCCATCTTCTCCATCATCAAATGCCTCAAGGCTGGAGTGGGATTGGAGACCGGAAGAAAGGTTTGAAACAATCTCTATGGGGAATAAAATAAACTGATGAGTAGAGGAGAAGGATTATTGAGCAGTATTGAGGACTTGTGGATTTGTAGATAGTGAAAACAGTTCAATCATTTGACTTTCCCAAACAGATAAGCCCTATCATTTCGATGAAATTACATGGCAGGGACTTTTGTCTGAAGGGCACCACCCATAGGAGGGAGACATGATCCCCGACCCATAACTGAGAGGAAACAGAACACTCTGGTTGGTCCCTTTTCCTCTTGGAATGATTATAATCTCTTGGCCTTCCAGCTCAGAGTGCAGCAAAGTGGAGCATGCAGGCCCAGCTATCTGGTAGATACCCAGCAAGCCCCAACTGCCAGGTGGAAAATGGCTACTTGTAGCAGAGGCCCCTGCTGGGTGACCTGGGCTTGCCAAGGCAAGCTTGAGAGAAGAGTTGCTATATCTCCTGGCTGTCTCATTCTGCCTTTCTGTTCCCTTTTCTGAGGTGAACAAGTCAGAGACCAGAGTCCCTGAAAATGGGCATTGTTGACCCTGGGGATTACCTCGTGGATAGTCCTGAGATCGAGAGGTATAGGCCTCCTAGAGGGAGATTTCCTCAACACACGTTGTTCAAGCATCCTAGTCTGACCAGGATAAGAGTGCAGATCCTCTGCTGCGCCCCACCCCCCCCATGCCTGCCTGCCTCCATGTTTATATATACTTCTCACATAAGCTACTTAGAAGAAATAGTAAGATCCATCCCCTCCTTCCTTTTCCTTTCTACCTAAGTGTCTTCCTTCTCTTACCCTCCCTTCTCTTTCTCCTCTTCAAATCTTTGGAACAGAACCAATCTGCACCCCCCCCCCTTGGGACCCTTTGAGCATATTAAAGGCCTGAGGGGACACTTGTTTCTTCTCCCTCTAGTCAAATGTTAGCCCAACCTCAGCATGTAACTCTTTCCAATTGTGCAGATAAATTTTCCTTTCTAGGTTTCTTTTCACTTTTTTCCTTCTATTTCAAAGTCCCTACCTGGCTCTGGCCTTTTCACCAGACATGACTTAAATTCCTATGTTGCTTTAAAGGTTCGTTTTTTTCCCCCGTAAGGTGGCACAGCTTTGCAAAGGTAAGTTATTCTTGAATTTAAGGCTTTATTGATTGATTGATTGATGGATCTTGCCTTTTGAGATATTATATTCCAACATATCCTCTCCTTTACCATTGAGGTTGCTAGATCATGTGTGATCCCGACTGTATTTACCTGGTACTTGAACTACTACTTTTTGGATGGGGTGTAGGGGATGTTCAGGGAGGACTAGCCCCTCTTTCATGAGGGCTGCTGGCCCCTTTTCAGGGCTGTTCATCACCTTTGGTGTCCAACATTCACTCAACCCTCACCTGTGTCTCCAAGAAGTTATAGTATGTACAGTGGCCACACCCTGGTAAAAGCGTCTCAGCAGATGGGTTAAACCAGGTTGAGGGTAACTGACAGGCCTCAGACCTGCTGGTAAGTGAGGGAGGCGTCTACCCCGAGCGTGTGAAGACTTCTGTCGGCAGAGTGGGTGGATGAGAACGATTTGTTCCAACAGTCACAAAGGCAGCTGAGGCAGGTGCAGCAGAACTTGGTCAGACATCGCAGACGCCAAGGCCATCACCTGCATCCAGAGCCGTCACCAGTCATCTTGTCTCTGATGACTCTGGGAGAGAGAGTGAGACTGATGACTTTGTGCAGCTGGACCTCATTCTTAAATCCAGTTCATAAATGAGTCAAGACATCACCCCATGATGCCATTGCTCCGCCTCCTTTTTAGATACTTACAGTATTTTCTCTTTCAGGTGGAAGTTCTGGATTTGGAATTTCTTTCAGGAGAGGATTGACGGATTCTTTCTGTCTTCACATTGCCCACTGGCTCTAATAAATTTAGGTACTTTTCATGCATGATTCCTTGAAAAAGAGTGTTCAGACTTTAAAAAAGTATGATTTTCAAAGAATCCGAAAGATTCTTAAATTATCTCACCTTGACCTGGTTTCCAGGTCAGTTGTTTTTGTTAGCAGAGACTCGACATGTTCTTCTATTTTCACAACCTTTTGATTTTATTCTAACATTGCTTGTTATTTCTTGGAGTCATTGATTTCAGTCTATTCTAGTTTTCAGGGAGTCCATTATTTGAGTTAAATTGGCCACATTCCCTTCTAATTTGTTTATTCTCCTTCCAGTCCTTTCCTCTAGAGCTTTTTCTTTCTTTTTTCTCGTTTCATTTCTTTTTCTTTTCTTTTTTTTTTTTAAAGCAATTGGGGTTAAGTGACTTGCCCAGGGTCACACAGCTAGTAAGTGTCAAGTGTTTGGTCTGAGGCCAGATTTGAACTCAGGTCCTCCTGAATTCAGGGCCAGTGCTCTATCCACTGCACCACCTAGCTGCCCCTTCCTTTCATTTCTTTTACATAGTCATATAAGTCCTTGTGTACAACTTTCTTCCCCCTTTGAGTATCTGTTTGCAGTTGTTAGGAAATTAGATTTGCACTAATTGTTCATACTGATTGATGTATTCTTTGATTCACTCATCTCTCCAGCTTTAATTCCTGAATTACCTTGTATTTAACTACTTTGTACATATTTGTATTTATTAACATAATATCTATGTTATATATATTTCTATGTGTAGTTAGGTGATGCAGTGGATAGAGTGCTGAGCCTGCAGTTAGGAAGACCTGAGTTCAAATCCAGCCTTGGGTGCTTCCTAGCTGTTTGACCCTGGGCAAATCACTTAA